ACACAAATGGTCTTTGTGGCATGCAAGTCTGAACTTTATCCTGTAGGCCACTGGGAACCATTAARAGGCTTTAAGAAGGAGAGTGGCATAATCAGCTGGATGTGGTGGTGCACACCTGTAATTCAGCTACTGAGGAGGCTGATGTAAGTGGATCACAAGTTTGAGGCTCAGACCCTGTCTCAAAACAAAATAAAAGGGCTGGGGATATAGCTCAGTGGTACAGCACCCCTGGCTCAGTCCCCAGTAGTGAAAGAAAAAAAAAATAAGTTGCTAAGTTAGGCTTTCAAAGTAAGGACATGTGGTGACTCCTAAGTTACCAGCTTAGAAAACTGAATAGACAGTGGTAGTTTCTCAAGAGAAGGCATGTGAAAAGAGAAATAGAGTTGGGGGACTACATAATTCATTTCGGACATGGTTAGGGTGTGCTGTCTATGAAGCACCCCGCTGGAAATGTCAAGGATGCAAAAAGAAATACAGGCTGAAACACAGTGGAGATATGATATTGGTACTCAGTAGCATACTGATGACGTTGACATTGGGGTTTAGACGAGACAACCCAGAGAGAAGAGCAAAGGGTGAGAGGATCAAGGACTAAAACCTGGGAAAACTAACATTCAAGAGGCAGGTAAAGGCTGGAAAGCCAGCCAAAGAAACCAAGTAGAATCTTTTGTGAATAAACTTACAGGATAGCAATTGCCAGGTTAAAGATCTCCCAATCTCCCTCAGGTGATTCTGATATGAACTATAGATTCACCAGGGCAGCAATGAATATGTTCACAGCATGAAGTATCTGCTCTAGAATCTGCCTGGAACCAGACAGGGATGAAGATACTAACTAAAACTAGACAGGATACAAGGACCACGGCTACAYTTAGGATGCTGAGTCAAATCAATGTTAACTGTAGCCTCCAAATTTCTTGGTTAATGTATTACACTGAACAGATTGTTTAAGCCTTATAAGACAATCAGAATACAGCAATGGGAATGACTGCTATTATGAGTATCATCATATAAAGACAGAGAAGGAGAAAATTGCAAAATATCTATCTCTACAATGGGCCTCCACCCAGAGGAAGCCAACTGYACATAGTTGTCCAGGTTTTGGTGTCAGGGGTTGATTCTTGGCCAGAGGTTGCCAGCTGCAGAAGGAGGGGCTCTATTTTAGGCTGCCTGCTGTCCCTGAGCCTGTCCGCATCTGGTTTGAGCAGCATGCAGCCCCAGTGACTCACACACCCATGCAAACCGCCTGTGGCTCAGTGGCATGGCCTCGGAATGCTAGCCTTAGGCCAGCTCCCTCCTCATCCCATTACACTGGGATAAATAAATAAAGAGCCCGCCAGCAGCCGCATAGCCTGATAGCAACCAGATGGAGGGAAAGAGGCACAGATGGGGCCAGGAGAAGAAACTCCCTCCAGTGGACTAGATGGAGAGAAGGCTACAGCAGCCACTCATCCTAAACTTCATCTTAAACTCATTTACAATTGCTGTGTCATAACAGTGCCCAATTCCTTGACTTTTCTTCCACTCCAAAAGATACCTCTTAAGCCTAATCCTGGGAAATGCTCCATATGGGGATCTTGCCCTACATGAGGATCATGCCAGCAGTCCTCTCTCCCCCAGCCTTGATTTGAATCAACATTGCCAGTATTCCTGCTTTAGTTAGGCTGCCATCAATTGGCTCCCTTAGGTTCCCTAGAAATGAAAAATCAGAGGTTCTTGAGGGGAGAAGAAAAACAAAAAGGATCAAATATGGGAAAGTGATCCCTGTTCAATCCTTCAATATTTTTCCTAATCTTATATCCAAGAAACTTCCCTATCCCACTGCCCCTGCACTCTGTCTACAATCTCTTCCCTAGCAATATTTCCAATGAGAATAGGAGTGACCCCAAGTACTGACCGCGTGGCCCTCTGACATCAGCCTGGCCTCTCCACGCCTTCATCCCAAGCTCTCTCTCTGGTTTGTTTATCTTCCTATCCCATGTTGCTTATTTTGATGGCACATCCTTTCATTTCAGTCTTGGGTGACCCCATGACCCTTCTGTGTCCTGTTTGCAGCACCCTAGGCAAGCACAGTAACTGAAAAGATGCAGTAGCCATATGAAGCTCTATAGTCTCAATAGTGCTCTAGAGTCCTTTCAGTCTAGCAGCTATGCAGAACATTCTGAGGACAGTGCAGTGAACCCACAGTCATAAGAATTCAAATTACCCTATCCTTATGTCTCCTCAGCTGGTGTGCACAACAAGTTAAAGTAGAGAAACAGAATAGGGATACATTTTAGACTCTGAGTCAAGAAATGTGGGAAGTCCTAAACATAGGTAAGTCATTTAACCTCTGAGACTCAATTTTTTCATCTATAAAATGGAAAGCTTCAGCTATGTATCTCTATATGATCCCATATATAAAACTTCTACAAGTCTATGAGGCTTGGCTGCAATCCACCCAGTGCCTAGAGGACCAGAACTCATGAAGTAATTAATTGCAACTACCAACACCATCCCTGAGTTAGCACCTGGATTATATGGCTTTCTCATTACATTCTACAGGGATGGAGCCCTCCCCCAGCAGCATGAAAGAGATGAGCCTCCGATTTTAAAAATGAGAAAATAGTGGCTCTGAGAGAAGTGATTTATCTAAAGCTGCAAAATAAACCATGATAATAACTGAAGTCCTCATATATAGCCCTTAAAAGCAACAATGTATTTACAGGCCACACTGCCACAAAATTCACACAATTCCCCCTGGCATAGATTTATCAAAATATGCATACACAAACTTATTGAGAACCTACTTCTTCTAGGCACTATAATCCATGCTGGGAAGACAGAAATGCATTCAACATGGTCCCTGCCCTCAAARAAACCAAAGATCAACAACTCAGGAGGCTGAGGCAGGAGGACTGCAAGCTTGGCACAATTTAGTGAGACTCTGTCTCAAAATAAACAGGGATGGAGACTTAGCTTAGTGGTAAAGTGCCCCTGGGTTCTATCCCCAGTATGGGGTGGGAAGGGGAAAGAAATCAAAGATCAGCAGCAGAAAGCTACAGTTTTGCAGACATAAAAAAAAGTATAAACCAATGCACTCTAATAGCAGGAAAGGATTATTTTTATAATGAGAGTCCAGAAAGATCTTCCAAAGAAGCTGAAGCTGACACTTAAAAGATGAACAGTTTACAAGGTAGATAAGGCCAGCACATTGGTCATTCTAGATAAAGGAAACAATGTTATAAAGACATAAAGGCAAGATAAAACAAAACAGCATCTGGGAAAATCAAAAGTCATTTCTTATGGCTGAAACATAAAGCACATATAGTAAAACGTTATGGAGTCAAGTTGGAAAGCACATAGGCGCTAGACCAGCAGAGAAGGCTAAGAGTTAGCCCTGAACTCTAATGCAGGGCCTGAGGCAGGTAAATGGTACACCAGCTCCAGGCTGTGTTAACACTCCTTAATGCCATCTGAGAGAAAAGTGGCCTAAGAAATCTCTATCAAGGGCTGAGGTTGTGGCTCAGAGGTAGAGCGCTTGCCTAGCATGTGTGAGGCCCTGGGTTTGATCCTCAGCACCACATAAAATAAATAAATAAAATATATTGTATCCATCTATAACTAAAAAATAAATATTTAAAAAACAAACTTGAGTTTTTGAAAAAAGAAATCTCTGTCACATATTTAGGTGTAACAGTCTCTCTTTCCCCAAGAATTTGACATTAATTATGTTTTAGGACTTAGCAATGCAAGCTTTCCTTCTTCTCCAGAGTTAAAACTACTTCAGTACATGGGCTGAGTACTCAGCTCTCCCCACTTTTTTTTGCTCCTAGTGTTAAGACTTCAAGTATTAAATCTCAGTCAATGAATAGAAAGAACAGAAGGTTCCAGATCAAGAATACCTGCTTTACGTCTAGCCCCTGTGAAAAGAGTTTATTTCAGGTTCTAAAGAGATCTGAGACACAGAACTTATCCATAAGAAGCTTACAAGTAGCCTAAAGGGCAAGATAGAAATATGAATAATCTGTATATAACAATATTATAATAGCATTATTTACTTACATAGTAACTTGGRTAATATGTATAATTAGAAAATGGGGCAATAATACTAAGGTACTAACTGTATAACCAACAAGTCCCAAAAGAATTAGAGAAGGAAAAGATCAATATTGACTGGTATTATCAAAGGTCACCATTATTAATACTCCCACTGTTTGGCCTTCAACAGATGTTTCTTTTGGCCAAGCTTAATCTTTAGAAGGGAAACCTAGGCAGTAGCTTCTGACAGGCCACAATTATCTACTCCCCATTCATTCCTTTGCCAATCCCCTTGTATAAACACTGTGATTTTCCACGGCCTGCAGCACCCACAAGACAGTCCCCAGATGGTAGCCCTGAGCTTTTAACTTTCCTCTACTGCTAGATGCTGAAGGGACTGGACAAGTAACGATGACTACACTTCTACTCCACAATTCAGATCTCAATAAGCACAAGTTAACAACTGGCCAATCAAGCTTCCCAAGGTTAGAGAATTCCAAATGAAATTCCCAGGTACTTTAACAGAGGTATTTTACAATTGTTAATTAGTCTGCTTTTGCCTTTTGTATTCATCCCCTTTCCTTCCCCCATCTTCCCTATGTACATCTCAAGCTTTATCAGATTTTCTATAGCCATTTTTTTTTCAGACAAAGGGCTTTCCAACCATACAAGCCACCTACCACCCAAAATGCAAGTCACCATCCAGGTACCTTTTTTGTGGGGAAAGAGGTGGCAGGAACTGAAACCAGGGACACTTAACGATTGAGCCACAACACCAGCTCTTTTTATGTTTTATTACTAGACAGGTCTCACTAAGTTGCTTATGGCCTCACTAAAGTGCTGAGGCTGGCTTTGAACTTGTAATCCTCCTGCTTCAGCCTCCTGAGCTGCTAGAATTACAGGCATGCACCATCATGCCCAGCACTATCCAGGCACTTTAAGTGCTCAAATTTGAAGAAGAAAGGAAATAACTACCCTACCTCTACCATAAACTGTTCCAAGAAAGCATTTTCTTCAAATGGCTCCGTCTTCAATCGACCTGTAATAAGAAGGGTCAAAGAAAAAGAAATATGATCCTGAGGATGAGCTTCCTACCTGTTGGATGAAAAGGAACAGAGTCCAGAACAGAAAGATGCCCTCCCAGAGATCCCCCCTAGCCAGGTGAGAGAAGGAGGATTGAGAGTATGTGGGCAAACACAAGGAGGAGAGGGCAACTGGCAACAAATGGCAGTTCAGGGGCAGCAGTTGCTCTATGAGATCCTCCTGCCATTTCCATTGACAAAATGGCATGTCAAACGGAATTTTTACTTTGAAGTTGGTGCTTTGCAACGTCCTAAACTCCCAAGTTCGCCTTGCCTAGTACAATTTTGTATAGTTGTTGGCTCCTTTCCAAAGCCTTCCCCTGTCATTTCCTAGGACATGTTTGTCCTTTATAGCTTCCACTGGCCACTTAGGCACCAGCCAGGTACTCAAGGTAGAAAAAAGTGTCATCTACTTACTATCAAGTCTCCAGTTCCTAGTCAGGACCCAACACTCACCCCAGGGGAAACAATTTCCCAATGCACATGAGCTTCTCCATTCTCTAAGACCTTTGGACTACCTGTCCCACTCCTTACCCAATTCCTCAAAGAATGTCCTCTCACCTCGGCTCAGCATAGCCCCACTCTCCTGGTAGTCCTGGATCTCTAGATCTTTCATCCGAAGCAATGTTGACAACTCCTTCACGTGGCACTGCAAGGCCAGACTCATGCCCATCAAAGGACGAATCAAATGTTGGGAGACCTTTGATGGAAAAGAGACATCAGTTAGCCAACAGATGTTTCCAGAGTACTCTCTGCATTAGGTACTAGAAGAAAACACCAAAGAATATTTTCACAAGAATTTATAGTTTCAAAGGCAAGCAATCCATTTAGATGAGCATAAATATAAACGTAATAATTAAATAAATTTATTAAAGAGGCTCAAGGATTACCTTTATGACCCAGATAGAATATGGATAGATTAACTTAAGAGTTGTGATTTAGAGACAATGATGTGATACAGTTGAGAAAGGGAAAGTATTTGCTCAACTCTCAGCAGAGGTTAAGAAATAAAAGCAGAATATTCAAGCAGTCCTCAAGAGAGTAAGTGTGGTAGACAGACATGATAGCACATGCCTATAATCCCAACAACTTGGAAGGCTGAGGCAGGAAGATCGAAAGTTCAAGGCCAGCTTCAGTAACTTAGCAAGGTCCTAAGCAACTTAGTAAGACTGTACTTCAAAATTAAAAAATAGCAAAAAGGGCCTGGAATATGGTTCAGTGGTTAAACACCTGTGGGTTCAACACCTGGAAGCAAAAAAAAAAAAAAAAACAAAGAAGGTATGGCTAGTGGCTAAAACAGAGTACACCAGCTGGAGTATAACAGAAAACAAAAATTCAACAGAAAGTAGAGAGCTCTGAAGTTCAAGTTAGATCATTTATCAAGTGCCATTTCAGGGCTGATGATAGCCCAGAATTTCAATCTGTTTCCACAAATGCAGCAGAGTTTCAGGTTGTTGTTATAATAAAAGCACGTCAATTTCTAAAAGACTAGCCAAGAAATAAATAAAATACCCACCCAAATATACCTTGCTTTCAACAAGAAGTAAGAAGGATGCTAGCACAGTATGGAAATTCCTTAGAAAACTTGGAATGGAACCACCATTTGACCCACCTATCCCACTCCTCAGTCTATACCCAAAGGACTTAAAATCATCATGCTACAGTGATGCAGCTACTTCAATGTTTATGGTAGCTCGATTCAAAATACATAAACTGTAGAAACAGATTATATACCCTTCAATAGATGAATGGATAAAGAAACTGTGGTATAAATACACCATGGAATATTACTCAGCCATAAAGAAAAATGTAATTATGGCATTTACGGGTAAATAGACGAAGTTGGAGAATATCATGCTAAGCAAGTAAGCCAATCCCAAGAAAACAAAGGCCAAATCTTTTCTCTGATAACTGAATACTAACATAATGAGGGAAGCAGGTGGCAAGGGAAGAATGGAGGAACTTTGGAATGAGCAGAGTGGGGAGAGGGAAGGGGAAGGTATGGCGGCGGGAGGTGGTGGAATGAGACAAACATTATCACCCTTATGTATGGGTATGATTGTATGAATGGTGTTACTCTGAATCATGTACAACCAGAGAAATGAAAAGTTGTGCTCCATTTGTGTAAAAATAAAATAAAATTAATAAAAAAAGAAGGATGCTAGCAGAGCCATACTACAGTGCAGCTATAATGATGCTCTCGTATGATAATGTAGAACTGTACAGAATAATCATTTAATTCACCMATGCAAGGTGTCCATTAGTCTCTCAAAGAAAATAACTAGGGGCCGGGATTGTGGCTCAGCAGTAGAGTGCTCGCCTAGCACGGGCGGGACCCGGGTTCGATCCTCAGCACCACATAAAAATGAAGGCATGGTCTGAAGCTTGGAGCACTACTAGGCATCTCCTTTCTTCCATGGAGCGTTCACCATTCAAACATGACAGATTTGGTCAAATGCTAGTTAGGTTGAGTCTTGCTTGCTTCCACTTGGTCACCTTTGTATGGATCCAATGGCTGTTTTGTTTTGCTTTTTGTTCCTTCCCCCCCTCCCCATTAACGGTTTTTAGCTGACGTTCTTGAAGAGAGTGAGTACTTGGAACTGTGCCGCCAGTGAAAGGAAATCCTAAGGAAGTACATTTCTTTACAGAGCTGTGTCATACCATCCTTTTGGCCCTCTGCTGTAAAAGTAGAATCAAGTCTCAAATAATTGCCTTTGTAATTGTACCCTCTAGTATTGCAGATGTAGGACAGTACTGTATCATATGCTGTGAATGTTAAACCTCTCGTACCTGCTTTATGATACGTGGTAGTGACCGTGCTTTATCAGAGCTGTTTTTAATGATATTACTCTAGAATGTTTTCTTTTCAGATGATGATTGAGAAGCTAATAAGAAAAAATGGTGCCAGGTATCACAACAGTAACAGAACTTTGCTGTTTTCTCGGGTTTTGTTTTGTTTTTGTTTTTTTTACTTTCCCCCCATTTTTAAATGGAGTGTGCTGGGTGTGTCTATGATTCTGTTCAGATGACTGCAGAACCTGGAAACGCTGTTGCTGCTGCTGATGCAGAACATACTGCTATTATTGGTCTTTTTATATAAATATAAATATATATATATATATATACATATATAGATAATTTGAATTTTTGGAAACTTTAGCTGTGCTGTCAACTTTGGAAAAGTATCCCAGTTTACCGTGTTGAGTTGGCATTGTACAGAAATTAACAGCCATATTGGTCTAGAAATGTTAAACTTAATTTTTTTTCCATTTGTACAGGGGTAATGCACTGTATTAAATATGTAAGGTCTTATCTACGTGGGTTTGATTACAGAAACTAATAAAGTATTCTCTAAATAATGAAAAAAAATGAAGGCATTTGTTGTGTCCATCTAAACCTAAAAAAATAAATATTAAAAAATAAATAAAKAAAAATAAAGAAAATAACAAAGTCAATCACCTATTTGTGGCTTGGGGATGCTACCAGAGTTACTTTCTTTTTCCCCTGAAGGACACAAATTAAAGAAGGAACTAAGAAGTGGTGCTCTAGATCAGGGGTCAAGAAGATTTTTTTATGGAAAAAGCCAGATAGTCAATATTTTCCACTCTGTAGACCATACAGTCTCTGACACAACTACTCAACTTTGCTGTTGTGGCACACTAAAGCAACCCCAGACAATATGTAAACAAAGGAGATGGCTGTGTTCCAATATAACTTTCCAAAAAGAGGCAATAAGCTAGATTTGGCCTGCTGGCCACAGTATACCAACCCCTGTCTTAGTCCTAAAAGGGAGCAATTTAAGACTAGAGGTGCAGCTTGGTGGCAGAGCAATTGCCTAGCATACATGAGGTTCCAGGTTCAATCCTAAGCACTGAAAACAAAATACAATAAATAAACAGGAAGGAAGACTTTAGACAGGATACCCCAACACAGGCTTGAAATGAAGAAAAGGTACCAGAGATTCTCATAGGATGTGCAAGCCAGATTAATCTGAATCAGGACCAGAAGTCTGAGCTCTTCAGACTCTTGTGTTTTCATTTTCCATTAATTTTTCTAGGTAAAAGTTACCACTAAAACTTCTACTTGTGTTGTGACTCAAATTATATGGAAAATACTTTTTTTCCACATTTCTCTAATAATCAATTAGGAAAGACTGGATGTGGGGAAGTGGGCAAAGAGAGAGTGGTGCTGGCATAGGATGGAAGGTCAGAAGCCAAGTCAAACTCTAGATGTTCGTTATTTCTTTCTATCACACAGCACACCCCAACCTGACACTGCCTCSTAACTCAGGTCTTCAGGACACTTAGGTCTCCAAGAAGTACTGCTCAGAATGTGGCGGAAGTACAGTTTGGGGGAGATTTTTATGCTCTAGACCCAGTTCTCTTTCCTAGAAATAGTTTTGTTAAGTTTGGTCCTGGTTAAAGTAGATCAGGAGGGATAAAAAGTTGAATATTTGTTAAATGCCAGGCTAGGTTTGGTGAGTTGGGTTGAAAATAATTATCACTGCTCAAGCAACCACACCATGCATTTGGTGGCACCACTCAAATAACAGGTACTCCTAAAGTTAATAATTAGCCTCTCTCAGGGAGTAAAGGGACACCTTAATAGCAATCTCTCTGAGTGGTACAGAATATATCATGAAATATGGTAAGTTTTAATCAATGTTATGTCTAATTAAATATGATAATAATATACCAGGCTACTCAAAAGATCTATCAGACCCTAATGTCTATATAGCAGCAACAGCAACAGTTTTATCAGTACATATTTCATCTTTTCATCTGCTCAAATAATTTCATAGGGTATACACCTATAATCCTAGCAACTCAGGAGGCTGAGACAGGAGGATTGTGAGTTTGAGGCCAGCCTAGGTAACTTAGTGACATCCTGTCTCAAAATAAAAAATTTAAAAAGGGTTGGGGATGTAACTCAGTGGTAGAGTGCTTTCCTAGCATGTGCAAGAACCAAGGTTCAACCCTCAGGAAATAAATAAATAGTAATAATTTCATAGGATTGTATTATACCTTCTGAATTACTGAGGTATAATTACTTTCAAAGTTAAATGAACACTAAAATGATTTCCCTTAAACCAGATAGCTTTGTTTTGTTCTGGATAGAAATCTTGAAAATATGTATCAATGGTCATAAGAAAGAATGGTGCAGAGGCTGGAGTTGTGGCTCAGTGGTTGAGTGCTCGCCTGGCATGCATGAGGCACTGGGTTCGATCCTCAGCACCACATAAATGTAAAATAAAGGTATTGTGTCCACCTAAAACTAAAAAGTAAAAAGAAAAAAAAAAGAAAGAATGGCACAAATGTGTAAACAGATCAAAGCAAATGCACAGACATTACAAGGAAAAATCCTGATGTGCTTTAGGAGGTCAGGATACTCCCCTTCACTTACAGACAGCAAAGGATGAAGAGATGCAGGTCACAAAACAATTCAACCAATACTTACCAGGAACCTAACATGTGCTCTAGGACCTCTGCTCTCCAAGAACGCCCAACAGTTAGAGAGGTTAGGAAGTGTGGTAGATACAGAGCAGAAGTTGCCAATCTTCAACCATTTAGAATTTCCCCCAACGTCYTCTGATTTCCCACAGAAATGCTCACAAGGCAGGAGACAGAATAGCAGTTTTCAACTCCAGATGAATCATATCAGGTGACACAGTGAAATGGGTAACAGACTAGAGAGCAGGAGACCTAGATTCCAGTCCTGACTCTCACATAACTTTAATATGAAAATGTCTTAACTTCAACTACTTTCATGGTCCTTGTCTTTTTCAAAAAGAAAAATTATGGAGTTAACTGTTTGCTTTCACAGATACAATATAATACTAAAGTCGAGCAATGTTACACATATTTTCATTTAATCCTCACAAGTCTGTAAAAAGATTGTAATTGGTATCTCCATTTTATAGCTAAAGAAAAAAAACATAAATGGTGAAATATGAAAGTGCTGGGGTTAATTACAAAATCAAATCAGCTGGTTCCAAAGCCTATGCTTTCTACCACTAAAAACCTTGAGAAATGACTCCTGGGATCATAAAATGGTCAAAGGGGTGACAAATTYGAAAGGAAAAATATAGAATATTAAGAATTATATTAGATAATACAAAGAGCAGACAGTAGGAAGGAGGAAAAGAGATGAGAAGTTCATCACAAGTGGAGACCAGCTCAAAGTTATAATGCAGAGACCCCAAACCTCATATGTTCCACAATATCCTGCAGCAACTTAAGAACCATTGAGTTGTTATTATGCATACATTATATGGTAGAGGCTGTAGGTAATTAGGTATTCTCCTACTCTTTCTAYGGCTGGTAGGACTGAAGGTCTCTGGAGAATACTCTGGCATTGGTTTAGCAAAATTAAAGATGAAAATACTCCTTGCCCTGGCTGTTCCACATTCAGAAATTTACTTATACATTTAACACACAGAAAAAGTAAATATAGGGTTAGTGATACAAGTGCTTGCCTTGCATGCAAAAGGCCCTGGATTCAATCCCCACCACCACAAAAAATAAATGAATAAATAAATGTAAAGATAATCACAGTATATAAMAAAACACTAGAAATAAAAAATGTCTACTAATAGATCAATTAAATACATATTGATAAAACTATAAAATACTAAGTTGCCATTTAAAAATATTATACTGGTTTTCTAAACATATTGACATGAATGATCTCTATATAATTAAGTGAAAAAGTCAACATATTGAGCAGTGTACAGCATGATGCCATTTGTAGAACTATACATGTATTTGTAAATATGTATTTGACTGTGTATGTACATAAAACACACACTACATAGAGCTTTTTTAAAGAATTTACAAGAAGCTGATAAAGGAATATCAGCAGTTGYTTTAAAGAAGGTAAATGAGGGGGCTGGGGATGTGGCTCAAGCGGTAGCGCGCTTGCCTGGCATGCATGCGGCCCGGGTTCGATCCTCAGCACCACATACCAACAAAGATGTTGTGTCCGCCGAGAACTAAAAAATAAATATTAAAAATTCTCTCTCTCTCTCTCTCTCTCTCTCTCTCTCTCTCTCTCTCTCTCTCTCACACTCTCTCTTAAAAAAAAAAAAAAAAAAAAGAAGAAGAAGGTAAATGAAGCTGGGTGCGGTGGTGCAATCACGCCTGTAATCCCAGCGGCTGAGGATGCTGAGGCAGGAGAACCCAGATGCTAAGCAACTCAGTGAGACCCTGTCTCTAAATAAAATAAAATCATGGCATTTGCAGGTAAATGGATGGAGCTGGAGAATATTATACTAAGTGAAGTAAGCTAATCCCAAAAAACAAAGGCCAAATGTTTTCTCTGATATGTGGATGCTGATCCTTAATGGGGATGGGGGCGAGCATGGGAGGAATGGAGGAACTTTAGATAGGGCAAAGGGGAGGGAGGGGAAGGAAGGGGACATGGAGGTAGGAAAGATGGTGGAATGAGATGAACACCATTACCCTAAGTACACGTATGAAGACATGAATGATGTGACTCTACTTTATAGATAACACGACATGAAAAATTGCACTCTATATGCGTACTATAAATTAAAATGCACTCTGCTGTCATGAATAACAAATTAGAATAAATAAATAAAATACAAAATAGGGCTGGGGATGTGGCTCAGTAGTTGAATGCCCCTGAGTTCAATCCCTAGTAACCTCCCAACAAAAAAAGGAAGGAAAATGAGGGACTGAAGAGGGGCAGAAAGGAGACTGTTTTCTCACTGTAAACCTTTAAATGCTGTTTGAAATGTTTGACTTTGGATGAATTACCCATTCAAAAAAAAGTGAAAACTATCACAAGAATGAGTAACAAACAAAAATTATAACCGCATGACCTCACAGACACACACACAGAAGCCTGAAATAGCATCTGCCTACACCCYTGCCAGCGCCTGCGGCTATGACTCTTCCCTACAGTTCCCCAGGCTCCGGGGTTTCCCTGGAGTGACATTCCTCTTTTTTTAATGATGAGTATTTTATTTTCACTTAAAGTACAGTTGTTAATCAATTGTTCAAAGCTAATTTCTGCCCATAGCCAATCAAGGCTCACCCACCTAACACATTTTTTTTTTTTTTTGGCTTCTTCTCTTACTATAGYTCCTCAATTAGAATAGTGTGCTAGTTTTTCTCCACATATTTCTTTACTTATAATATTAAACAAGTGCTCTTTTATTGTATCCTTTTAAAAATTATTTATTTATTTTTGTGGTGCAGGGGATCAGACCCAGGGYCTGGCACATGCTAGGCAAATGCTTTACCATTGAGTTATATCCCAAGCCCACTATATTCTTTGGAAAGAAGAAACTGTTGGAGTCCATCAGCCTCCAAGAAGAGCTGCCTCCAAAGTCACACTATCCTGTGTATAGAACCATGTAAAGCAAAGTGAAATCAGATATCACTTAAGATTCCCAAAGGCTGAGGAAATATTTGGGTTCATTCTTGAGAGAACAGTGCCACCTAGTGTCACTTAGAAAAAGTCATGAGGGATTTAAATGATACAGGTAAATTCTATATCTCAAACAGGATGGAAACTTTCACAAGAAGTTCAATTAAAATCCACAAATTTGACTGACTACATGCTAGGCAATATATTGGCCTTAGAAATACAGAAATGAGTGAGAAGTAGTTCTCTTAGCACTCAAGTCAAGTTTTACTGGGTTCCAGTTCATGAATAAACATCAGTGAACAGTTTATAAAAATGTCTTTTGTTCCATTCACAGTCATATAGGGATGCTAGAGCATCATTCCACCTGTGGGAGACTAAACACATAGGCTGGGAAATGAYGCTTACTTTCTGCAGATCCCTCTGTTGAGAAACTTGTCCCCTAGTCCTCCCACAGAGAACACCCTGACCTCTAGTGCTACTAAAATAAGCCCTGTTTGTTATTCATGAAAACTAGTTCTCAATGCTCAATGCTTAATTTCTAATAAAAGCTCTTAGAGCACGAAAATTACAAGTGAGMAGAAGATAATGACTCTCCTAGTCCCTAAAGTGGGCCTTCAGACTTGACTGATATGGAGTTCAATTTCTAACTCACTCATTTATAACCTGGATGACTTTGGACAAGTTACCTTCAATTTCAGTTTCCTGCTCTGGAAAATGAGGTCAGTAATACATATTTTGCAGGACAGTCATTAGGATTAAAAGATCAGACAATGCTCAGAAAAATAACTAACATCAGCACTTAGTCCACCGTTATGAGCAGTCCTGATAAAACACAAGTGGGACCATGTAAAACCCCTATTTTAAACTCACCCCATTTCTCATGCCTTCCTATCATACTACGGTTATAAAGTTCCTRAACTCAGTCCACACTTACACATCTCCATACCTGTTTGCTGAGAATGATTTTTCTCTTTGTTTTATCCCAAATCATCATCAAAACAACTCAGAAATTCACTATTCAAAGAGGTTTTCTCTGATCCTCAAGCCATTTGGGGCCTGTCTCAGTAACAGAACTTACCACACTTTATCATAATTTCCTTTCTGTCTCCTCATTAGTATAAACTCCAGGAGGAAGCCATATACATATGTATACACACACACACACACACACACACACACGTTTTGGGATACTCAGTAATTAGCAGTACATAGGTGGTTCAATAAATAAACTAATGAATAAAGTCCCTGAATAAAGTATGTAGGTCTGACCCCTGCTAATACCAGTCAAAAATCTTTCTTATTTGACACTGTCTGGTCAAGGAAAGTTTTCTGATTGGAGAAGAATTTCAAACAGGGTTTACAAAAATATAAAGACTCCTAAAGCTGCATCTCAAGCAGCTGGCATCCCGACGTCCACCCCAAATCTGACTTGAACTTACCAGGGAAGGACTAGCTAGAATGCAGTGGAAGTTCCAATAGAAGGGGAGACCAGAAAGCTCACTCCGCACCCGTAGAATCAGTGCCTCTGCCACAAGATCACAAGAGAAGGTCGCTTCACTAGGGTGAGCAATATTCTTCAACAATGGGCGAAGCAGATTATCCAAGTGACAGAGAAAAGCTGCAGGGGGAGCAGTCAGTCGCTTGTTCAGCTCCTGAAAAGACAGTAGTTTTACACACTGAGGGTGCTAAAAGGAAATTAACTCCCTCTTGAGCAGTAGCAAAGGAAAGCCCTGATTAATGTGAAGACAATGGGCATGAGAGGAAGGGAAAGAAAGAGAAAAACATCACAATAGGAAAGAAGAAAACAAAAACAAAGGTAACAAGAGTCACAAAAATCAACTGGCCTACTTCAAAGTTCTATCTTCCCTTTTGCGGCCATCCTGAAATTCAATCCTTTTGTGACTTCTGACCGAAGCAAGAACCGCAAAAGGCATTTCAATGCACCATCACACATTCGCAGGAATATTATGTCTTCCCCTCTTTCCAAAGAGCTGAGACAAAAGTACAATGTTCGATCTATGCCAATCCGAAAGGATGATGAAGTTCAGGTAGTGCGAGGACATTATAAAGGTCAGCAGATTGGCAAAGTCGTCCAGGTTTACTAGAAGAAATATGTCATCTATATTGAACGGGTTCAGCGGGAAAAGGCTAATGGCACAACTGTCCATGTGGGCATTCACCCCAGCAAGGTGGTTATCACCAGGCTAAAACTGGACAAAGACGGCAAAAAGATCCTGGAACGGAAGGCCAAGTCTTGCCAAGTAGGAAAGGAAAAGGGCAAATATAAAGAAGAAACAATTGAGAAGATGCAGGAATAAAATAACCATATTTACAATTTGCATTAAAAACGCTAAAATGAAAAAAAAAAAAAGTTCTGTCTTAGGCAAGATCAATTTACAGAAGACCTGTATGGATTAGACAACATAGGTCACATTATGCATTATCATGCTACAGAAACACATATACTATCCCTTCCTTCTCTCTCCCCGTCCTCCCTTCTCCCCTCATCCCAGAAAGATTCCACAGCTGCAGACAGAAGTGTAGGACATAACTGGTTGAACATTCCTTGGAACAAGAAGTGTTTCATATTTCAGAGTTTTGGATTTTGGAATGTATGTGTAAGAGTTTAYCGGTTGAGCAACCCAAATTTCAAAATCTAAAATGCTCTGAAATGTGAAACTTTGTAAGTGCCCTATGCTCAGAAATTTCATATTTTAGATTATTTTGAATTTTGGATTTTTAGATGAGGGATGCTCAACCTGAAACTGGAATTGTATCAACTCATTTCAATCTTCCTTGCCAACATACAAGTGGTCAAGCTGGTTGACATTAACATCCCCTGACCTTCACTAGGAAAGAACATATCCTCACAGTGGTACTTCTCTTTACACTTACCTTGGCTCGCTGGCTGACCACACTAGTATCCACCTGTTCATGCCACACCTGTTGAAGATCCGAAACAAGCAAGGTATAGCCCTGCTTGGTGATRTAAGCCTTGGCCAGGAGGGAGTTCTCAGCAAGCTGTAGCCAAGCCCATGGCTGCATCAACAGGCCTTGCTCCAATTCCTCCATCTGCAGAAAAGGCGTAATTTAGCAAAGTATCTCCAAAGTAATGTAGGCCTAGGAGGGTGCTCAGACAACTCTGCATCAACTACAATCCTGTGAAAATACTGACAAAATAGGAAACATGGATTTACATTCTTCTCCTTATTATTGAACTAGCTGAGCACCAACCTACTACCACTTAAAATCTAGTTAGAGGGGCTGTGGTTGTGGCTCAATGGCAGAGTGCTTGCCTAGCATGTGCGAGGCACTGGGTTCAATCCTCAGCACCACATAAAAATAAATAAAYAGAATAAATGTATAAAAAAAAAGTGTTGTATCTGATTTTAAAATCTAGTTAGAATCTTTTTCCACATAAAGTTCCTAGAGGGTAGAGAATAGTACTTTCTTCCATAGTATTTAAGCCTCAGCCAATTGGTGTGTTTCCACTCTCTCATAATATAGTTTAATGTGAAACCCAAACCATTCTTGTTGCACCTTTACCACAATAGAAATCCTAATAAATGTCAATACTATTATTTCCCAGAACTTTTARAAGAGAAAGATAGTTCTTGTATTGTAAAACATCATCAAGTCTTGTCAGGGGCAGGATATACAAATTATTTCATCATCATCTAAAAACAAAACTTTAGAAGCTCTCAGGAATTTTTTTTTTAATCTCTAAAACAGAGCTTCCTAATGTAGAGTTTATACACCCAAACCTTCTAGAATTATATGAAAATGTTATGCATATATGTGCATACAGAAGCAGTCCATCTCTATAGTCAAATTCAAATTTTTGATTAAACCAAGGAACATTCACGCTCAGTTCTGTATGCACGATAATGCATAGTGTGATCCATCATCCTCCTGCACTTTTATTTTGAGATATGTCTTATTAAGTTGCTGAAGCTGGCCTTGAACTTTCGATCCTCCTGCCTCAGCCTCATGAGTCGATGGGACAACAAGCATATGCCACTGTGCCTAGCTGTGGTCGAATTCTTAGAGATTAACAGCACAAACATAGAAAGGAGCTAAAAAGCTCAGTGACCAGGAGCAACAGAAAAGACCCAAATCCACTTTTACAAATGACCAGGAGGTCATGAATATAAACCACAGCACACCACAGAAGAAGAGATAATTAACTTCCACTTAACTCATATCCCCACTCCAAGGCACAGCCACCAATGACATCATACTCTTTGCACAGCTTGGAACTCCTGGAAAAGTTTGGAAATCAACTTTTCTTTTTTTTTTTTTTAATATTTTTTATTTTTTTAGTTTTTCGGCAGACACAACATCTTTCTTTGTATGTGGTGCTGAGGATCGAACCTGGGCCGCACGCATGCCAGGCGATGCTCTACCGCTTGAGCCACATCCCCAGSCCCGGAAATCAACTTTTCTATGTAGCCTTAACCTAGTAGATATTCAGCAAAAATGACTGCTTAACAGAGCTTATTTTTCCTGTGTGTGTGGGGAATAATATAGTTTCCTCCATTATTCCAGTCTATAAATACAAAATGAAGAGAAGTACCAGGAGGTGAAAACTTAGAATATAAAGAAAATAATAAAATTCCTGTTACATTTCATTAACACAGTCATTTCCAACTTAGTCTAAATCATCATTCTTCCAACCATAACCTAGTTTTCAAAGAGTGACCTTGTGACATTATTTAATTTGCACTGTAACTAAAGAGTCATGCCACATAATAACATTTCAGTCATTTACAGACCATAYGTATATGACAGTAGTTCCATAACAGTATACTGCTAGTAACATTGCAGGCACTTTAGTTTGCATTTTCATACACTCTATGGTGTTTGCACCACGATGAAATCACCTAATACTGTATCTCAAAATGTATCAATCTTAATGACCCATGACTGCATGACTTACTATATGGTGACTTATCTGCAGCGGCCAAGGTGTTGTTGGGAGATGATGTGTCCAGTCACATCTCTCACTGCTGTTCCTACAGGGCAAAAATGACCTTGGAATGATTAAGCTAGTCCTCATTGGACAGAGTTCCAATGAGCTCCATACCACCTACCGCCAAAGATCACAAATGCAAATTAAGTTGCCAAACCCTTCAATTTCCCTTATAGAAATTCCCCAGTGTTCACTTTTTTTTAAAGAGTCACCAAAATGCGGCTAATCATTCTAGTCCGTCCTTCTGAAAGCCAAGAACCTCAGAACCCTCAAAATGATGATTTTTGTTTGATGAAAGGGTGTAGTTTAAAATGTGGCTAGGGTCAACAGGCCCTGTAAAAAAGTAGGAATATTTCTGCAACAGACCCACGTTGGCTTCTCTCACTAGCCAGGCCCATTCGAGACTGAAGCCTCTAAATTTCATTCCTCTGTTTTCTTCAAGGCCGCCTTTAACATTCATGTTAACTATATTCATCCGTTTAGTACTCTTGTCTGAAGAAGGGGGGTGCGAGGGTTCCACCCCTCGGCCAGCAGACCCCTCAGGGCAGTTCCTCCACTACCCTGCAGGGGGCAGTAAGCCCTAGAGAGATTCAAGCCGGGCCACTCCTCGTCCCCTGGGAGAGGGCGAACCTTGAGTCCCAAACCACAGCCCACCCCAGGAACCCCGCCTGGCGTCCAGTTTCCATCTGCCTCCCCTAGAAGAGACTCCGCGGTCCGCCTTTCCATTTCTATAGCACCAGCTGCACCAAGGCATAGTCAGAATCCCTCAGCGGGTAACACAGTGGACACCTCCGGTTCGTAGCCCGGCTACACCAAATAGCAGGCCTAGGAAAAGCCTCACTCACGCCCCCAAAACGCCGAAGCGGTCGGAGCGCGCTGCGCACGCGCAGCCCCGCCTACTCTTGGAGGCCTGCCCAAATCCCCGGCTGCGCGCTGTCCATTCTGGGAAAAAGCGTCCGTGCCGGGCCCAACCCGCAGAATCCGCGCAGCTCCACGGCGCCCGACCCGACCCGGTCCAGACCCTGGCCTAACTTGAGCTCGATACCACCTACCGTCAGTTCCTCTAGAACTCACACCTTCCTCACTGCAGGCCCGTCCGCCCGCGGAAACTGAAAGGCGTAGGGTAGAGACCGATACCCCCCCACGGAGGCGGGTCCTGGGCGCGGAGGCGGGGTCCAGGCCTGGCGGGGGCGGGGCTTCGGGTTCACTGAGCAACTTGTAGGAGCGCGGAAGGACYGGAAGGCCACCGCAGCCCTTACTAGGGAGGTTGAGGGGTAGTGGTCCTTCTAGGAGTCAGATCAGCAGCGGAGAAAGAATACCAGAAGAAATGTAGGCGAGTAGGATGTGGGTTTGAATTTGTCAAACCCAGATTACTTCTGTTCCCACCCATACTGTCCAGACTTTTCCTTTTTTAATAAAATGAAAGAATTGAATTTCACCATATCATCTCTGGAGACTTGGCCGCTAATAGAGTAGTCGAAGAGAGGAGGCTCCTGGGCATAAATTCTGTAGTCTGATTTCATCCTTTACCTCCTCTGCATCATCTCACCCTTTATGCACCCCTATACTCACAACCTGTCACCACTGAAGACTTGAAACCCCTCATCAGTACTTTGTACAACTCATGCTTTTGTTCACGCTGGATTCCTGAGCCTGAAAATTTCTCATCTATTTTCCAAAACCGGAATCCTTGCTTCTCAAGGTCATCCTCAGCACTGCTGCTTTCATAAAGCCTTATTCCCAGAATGAACTACTTCTTCCTCTGCTCCCATGGTGTTATTTTTATTTTTATTACAGATTGTCTTCTGCTTTGCATTTTTAATAAGAAATTACATATATCTTTTTAAACCTTAAATACCTGGAGAGGACAAGGATCCCATCATATTCATATTTTAGTTTCAGAACCTAGCACATGAGAAGCATTAATATTTGTTAAGTGAATGCTAGGGTTCAGATGACATTAATAGTTTATAGGAAAAATCTCATTCATTCATCATGATCCACTAAACCATGGCCCCTGCTCTATAATAGGCCTAATTAAGAGAAGAAAAGGCAACCCATCCTACTGGGAAATGAGACCTCTAAGTGGGCCCATGACACATACACAGTCCCTCTGAGCCTGGGAGCTGATCCTCAATGAAAGCAGAAAGAGTCTCAATAATTACTTTGACCTAAGTCCTTCTCTGCTAGATGCAGGGCATGACTCCCYACAGCCAGGCAACAAGTCTGCGGTCTCTCCTGGCTCAGATGGCCCTCCTTCCTCATCCCCAAGGTCTTCAGGCATTGGACAGAGGAAATGAAGGGGCTGGGGAATGCAGGGACACATGTCTTGAATGGGGAAAGGAAGCCCATACTCTTGAGCAGCCTTCTCCCTGGACTTCTGAGACATTTGAGCCTCTTGGGCAACAAAAGAAGATAGCAACCCTTGACTGAGGCCCCGCTCAAGCCTTGTACCTGCCAAAAAAAAAAAAAAAAAAAGTTTGTCAGGTTGTGCTCAAACCAGGGAGTGATAACTTCCTGGCCATGCCCCAGGCAGCTAGGGCCTGATGTCAACTTACCAGAAATAGTGTTCTCTAGAAGAAAGCCCATGAGTCCAGCCAGAAAGATGGGCTCTGCCAGCAGAGAGCGCAGTAACACATCCAGGGAGCTCCAGCCTACAAAGGGTTAGGACCAGTCAGGAAGGGAACTCTAATACTTATTCAGAGCCAAGGAGTCTTATCCTTTCAGACTTAAACCTAAGTCTTGGACTAAAGACAGACCTTTCTAAATTGTCATTATACCTCCCTTATCTTTTATCCCTCTACTCTCCGTTTTCCTCACTGAGGCCCTTTCTCAAGGTTCCTTGCTCAACACCCTATCTCCTGAGCATCCATACAACCTTCACATGCTTAGATATGCTTTGATTATTCCAGGCTTCATTTCTCTGGGATTTTGGTATTAAAATCCCCAACCTTATCTCCTACTCCTTATACCTGCTATATTTTATCTTAAGTCTCCCAACCTCTGTACTATTGGCATTTTGAGCCAGATGAGGGACTGTCCTATGCATTGAAGGATTCTTTTTTTTGGGGGGGGGGCGAGTACTGGGGATTGAACTCAGGTGCTCTACCACTGAACTACATTCCCAGGACCCTCTTTTTTCATTTTGTGAGACAGGGTCTCACAAGTTGCCCAGGAAATATAGCAACATCTCTCCCTGTACTAATTGCTAGTAACAATACTCCCTTCCCTCATTTGCAGTAGTCAAAAGTGTTTTCCCCAACATTGCTAAATGTTCCCCATAGGGGAAAAATCACCCCCAGTTGAAAACCATTGCTCTAGATAAGCTAAGCTATTGGCTGCTCTCCTACATCTTTGTTTATCATCAAAAATGATCTTTTTACCAAATATGTTTACCATCCTTCAAGACCAGCTTAATATTACTGGATCACCACTGAGCCACAGCTCTTTATCTAAATCTTTCTTGTTATTTTCCTGCACACCTCATGTCTTTTACTAGACTATAACATCTAGAATTCCTTTGTATCCCAAGTTGCTAGCATGGTGTCCAACAAATGGATAAATTATTTATTCCGAAGCCCAGAGAAGATTGTGGGGCCAGGAGTCCAAACAGTACTTTTCCACTACTGAACAACTCCTCTTTCCCTCTCCACCTACCTGTGTTAAGTGGGACTAGGGCTTCCCGAAGCCATCTTGGCAGCAGCAGGGCCATAAAGATGGAAAAGCCCACAATGAAGACATTCCGTCCAGAGTCAATGTCAGCTAGGTGGAAACTGGAGAATCCAGCAGACAGAACCACAGCCTGGGTCACCCCTAGTACTCCACCTGTCTCATATAGAAAAAAAATCAAGAGGGTTGAGAGAGGGAGARGACACAGTGTATCATGGGCAGGCAGATTATAATGGGGGGACTACCAAAAGGCCTTTTTCAGATTTTTCAGGAGTCCCAAAAGTCCATTCAAGAAACCAAGATGTTGGGTCAAAACAATGAGGGCAGCTGACACATGTTCATATCCACCCATCCAGGAAGGCTATTTAGAGAGAAAGGATGCCTGTCAATACATCCACTCACCAAGCACAGGCAGCGGGATTGTAGTGAGGAACTGAGCCAGCCTAGGGGAGAGCCCAAGCCCCATGCAGAGCAGCCCCACTATGTGGGTCACTCTCTGAGATCCAGCCTGCAGGAAGAGATACTAGAAATAGCCACTTCCTTGGACTGTCCCAGATCCTTGCCTGGCTGACTCCTTCCCATCATTTAGATCCCAACTTTAATGTTACCATCCAAGTAGCATTGTAACCACTCTCTGTCTAAAGATGCCTTCTCTGCTCAGCCACTATTCCACAACTTTGTTTTCTTAATAGCACTTATCACTCTCTGAAATTACCTTATGTACTTTATTTTCTTCTCCTGAGGAAGTCCCCAAGAGAGTATGACTTTATCTGACTTGTTCTTCACTGGAACCCCAGCCTTGGTAGAGTGCCAGCTGTCTCTGATGTGCTAATTTGTTGTCTTGGCCTCATTGCTAGCCTCTTACTACTTCTAGGTACAGCCCTAAGTGAAGTCATTAATGTGAACTGCTTAAGTGCTGGGCACAGCTGGCAAACAGTCAATGTGTTCTCTACTTTCTACTGTACCTCCAGTTCCCCACCCCTGTCCCAGGTTCCCATACCTGGAAAAGACTCACTGTGCCCACATTAGGGAAGCTGGATGCTGTGCCCATGGGGCTCCCCAGCAGCCCAGCCAGCACACTGCCCAGCCCCTCCAGGCTCAGCCCTCGATTGCAAGCATGTGGAGGTGGAGGAGGCAAGTGCAGCAGCTGACCACACAGAGCATAGCAGCCCAGGGAACTGGTGGAGGCTGCCAGGGCCATAGAGATGCCTGCAGTCAGAGCCCTGGGTGTCAGCAAGGGCCATTCCCATTCTCCTGAGGAGGGAAAGGAGCCACCTTAAGGCCAGACTCAATTCTGGAACACCCCTCTACCTACAACAGCCTGTGCCATAAGAATGCTAGAAGCCATTGTCTTTGAAGATATCTTGGGACAAAACACCTGAACTCTAAGGAGAAAGACCCATCTCTTTACTGTGGTCTACAAGACTTTCTTTGGTTTGACCCTTAACACTCTCTCTCTAGCCTCATCTGCCAAACTTCACCTCAGTTTCCTCACCCTAGACACACTACCTTTGCTTTAGGCCCTGGACTTGCAGTGCTCCTTGCCACCACAGTGTCTTTGTACATGCTATTCTCTTCATCCACAATATTCTCTCCTGCCTCCTGACAGTTAGCTCCTACTCATTTCTCAGATCTCTGCTCAATGACCACTGGAAGAATACCTTTCCAGACTTCCCTGATGATGTCAAACTCCCATTATTAGCTCTCACCATGCAATGTAGCTCCTTTTTTCCCGCTCAATACTGGGATGGAATCCAATAGTAGAGATGGAATCTCTACTACTGAGCTACATATCCCCTCACCCCCTTTTAAAAAATATTTCTTTTTTTTAGTTGTAGATGGACACAATACCTTTACTTTATTTATTTTATGTGGTACTAAGGATCAAACCCAGAGCCTGACACATATGTGGCAAGCACTCCACCATTGAGCCACAACCCCAGTCACTAGCCCCTCTTTTTAATTTTTTATTTTGAGACAGGGCCTCCCTGAGCAGCTCAGGCTGGCCTCTAACTTGTGATCCTCCTACTGCAGCCTCCTGGGTCACTAGGATTATAGGCATTTGCCACCATGCCTGGCTAGTGTAATTCCTCTTGAGTATACTTACCACAATTACAATTCCACATTTACTTAGGTCCCTATTTAATTAGTATCTATATTCCCCAATTGACTACCAGTCTCATGAAGGCAGATACTATGTCTGTCATATTCATCACTATGTCCCCTGCCACATGCCTAGCACACAATCAGCACTCAAAAGAGCCTTATTAATTGATGGGCCAGGTTTGATCCCTAACAGTGCAATAGGTAAATAGAWGAATGATAAATTTTGCATACTATGCCTCAAAAATAATCTTTCTACATAGATCACCAGCTGAAAAGCCCTTGGAGCTCAGTAATGTAAATGTATAAGTTGGGTAAGGAGTGAGCGGTGGAGCTATATATGTCTGTCTCAACACCAACCCCAATAAAATGCTGCAGGGAGGGGCTGAATTGCCCCTCAGGCTGGCAATTTCTCTTTCCTGTGTGTTTTAAGAAACACAAGAAGTGAAATCCACCAAATCTGAGTTCAAAGAAATAGATACCTTGATTTGAGTAAGAGGACAAGGGCCTAGGAAAGAACATACCTGGGTGAGGCAGCCAAAACCATGGTGCCTTGGTGGGGGCAGACAGCTGCAGGGGGATGATGCTGAGACCCAGGAGGRCAGAAACGACCCACACACAGGCCACAGGGATCAGCACCTGAGGGGCAAGACTGAGACAGGAAAGAGCTCCTCCCCCAGAACCTTGTGAACCAGCTTTGATTGGGTAGACAGAAGCCCAAAACTCGGGGGCCAGGGAGCATTCTGTACCAGCCCTTCTAGCCTCAACTACCAAGGCCCCCACATACCGAGAGGAACCGAAAGGCAGGGACATGAATATGAGTTGAAGAGGTTGAAGTTGGCCTCCAGGGACATGGGGGTACCTGGAAGGAGCCCAGGTGCTGAGAACAGACCACCATGAGCAGGATAAGCCTAGAAGAGAGAAGCAGCTTTAGGGACAAGAGGCAGCAGAATCCTGAGGGATGGCAATGAAGGTGGGAATGAGAAGAATATCATAAAAAGGGTCCTAGCACCACAAAAATAAAGAGGGTCCTAGCAAAGAAAATTCTATGAAAGGGGTAGAGAGGTACATGGGGGACATGAAGAGACAGTAAGACTCTCAAGGAGACTGGATGAATCAAGAAAAAACCTTGGATTTGAAGTCTAAAAGGTGGTGTGCCTTCCCAGACTGTTGCTGATTCTGATAGGGCCAACAGCTCTGTCCTCCCCCAGTTCCGCACACCCCACTAGGCACTATCCTGTGCCTCAGGACTCACGTACAGCAAGGCCAGGCCCCAGTGAGCAGAGCAGAATTGGGCCACCTCCCTGTGGGCAGAGAGCCCTGCCACAACCAGGCTGGGGGCCAGCACCAGGGGCCCACAGTGTAGGAACAGGCGTCCAGGGGCCCCTAGCAGCCCCAGCATGCCTTGCAGCAGCCCAGATACCACCACTGCCCCTGAAACCTGGTAGAAAAGAGAAGATGAAGAAAAAACTTTCTGCTCAGTAAAGTTAACCTCAGCCTGGATTTGCTAACTTCAGGGACAGGACCCTGCCCCAACTTCTTCCCCCAGAGTATCTCAGAGTATCTGCATAATGGAAATGAGAACCTCCCAGGCCTGGGCCACCTTAACCCTCCAGCTTCCCATCCCTAGGCACTCACCTCTCGAAGAGAAGTGTTCCAGAGCTCCAGGCTGTGGCAGCCAGGCCTCCTACACAGGTGCAACACAACGGAGCCTGGGAATAGTTTAGGGCATGAAAAGGAGAAAAGTAAATGGGATGGAAACCCATGGCTCTCCAGTCCTCACTGGTGCCTGGCACAACTCCAAGACCCTAAGTGCCCAGAAGTCCCACTACTGCCCAACCTCAATCCTGAGCCCAACTCTCCATGTATGCTCAGTTGAGCTCTCAAGTCCCCTGTACCATCACCCTTGCTCTGTACTCACTATTTCCAGGTGTCTGGATGGGCAGAGGTAGCTTTTGGCTGGTCAGCACCAGAGCAGGGATAAGGAACTCTAAGGATGGAGCCTGGACAAGAGGCAGCCTGTAGGAACAGCAGCCCTAGCAGCTCTGGAAACATGTGGCAGCCAATAGTACTCCCCCCTATGCCTCTCTTCCCCCTGGAGCCATCACCCTCTCTCCAAGGGGTTCCCTCACCTGCTGCCCATCCCAGTTTGTAGGACTGTAGACACACCACATGAAAAGAAACTGGAGGCCAGGAGCTGAGCAGCGGGGTAAGAGAGTCCTCCTGGGGGAAGACTACGAAGCAGGAGCAGGTGGGAGGCACAGAGCAGAGAAGCCAGGACCAGGAAATGCTGCAGGTGGAGGAATGGGGAGGGACAGTCTTCGAAATTCCTATTTCTAGAGGGCTTTCATGCCACATGATTCTCCCCAAGCACCCCCTTCAGCTAGCACCAACTTCTGTACCTCTACTTCCTACCTGCAGAGCCAGAAGACAGCTGAGGCCCCAGGTGGGAGGCCCACATGGAGAGGCCCAAGTGTGGGAAGAGGAATTCTGGGGAACAGCCAGTGGCCGTGGTAGGAGAACTGGGGCATCCTGGGAGCCCACAGACTGGAGTGGAATGGGATGAAGGTGTGATCGGCTCATGCTGCCCTGCCTTTGTGGTATCTTGGCTGCCCTGAGCCAGAGTTAAGTACAGARTAAGAGGTAGGAGTTTGGGTGAGGTTAGTTGCCAGGAATGGGGAGGGGGTGGGGGTTTCAATGAAGCGGAGCAAAGGGATGAGGGTTTTGGGGCTGGACGGGGCCCTTTCACCTTTGCCCAGTTCTTGTGCAAATTCCATCAGCCATTAACTGGGGAGCTGAGTTCTGGACCCCTCCCCCAAGAATCTTCATTCCCTGCTCCTAGACCAGGCTCTGGAAGGTAGGAGAACATGGACAACTATCAAAATAGCCTGGAAAGGTTTTGCAGACTATTTCCTCCCACAACCATTTACAACCATCCCATCTAATGATCCACACTTTTCAACCATATCAGGACAGGTCCCTGGATCATCTCAAAATGAAACTCATGAGCTGGATGCAGTGGAGCACAGCTGTAATTCCAACAACTTCAGAGGCTGAGGAAGGAGGATCACAAGTTAGAGGCCAGCCTGGGCAAGTTAGAGAGACCCTGTCTCAAAAAAAAAAAAAAAAAAAAACTGGGGATGTAGCTCAGGGTTAAAAGGCCTCAGGGTCCAATTCCTAGTACTGCAGGGGGGGGGGGGGGACAAAAACCTCATGGATAATATGCCCCAAATCACACACAACAATGACCCAAACTCCGTGTTATATATTCTCTGTAAGAAATAAATTTATAACAACATGTATTTTAATGCCTAAAAGCTTGGACATGGATAAACCAGAAGACAACGGAGCATTCCAAGTCCCACACCCATATGTAGAATCTTTGAGGATGTGACAGCTACTGTGGCAGCTAATAATGGCAACTGAGCAACTCAGATGCTACCTTCAGTACYTGAACAAGTGGTAACTTGATGTCGCAAAATGGCAGACAAACTCTTGATAGAGCAATGAACATGACAAATCTGTTTTAATTTTCATAGAAGTTCATACCTGACAAATCAAGACTTCTTCAAAATGTACAAATTCATGTTTATACATAAAAAGATAGTTCCAGGCTCAGTAAGGACTTCAACATGCACAATAACCATCTAAGTCATCCAAAATTTGTCTTGGGAATTCTTCCTAGCAAGAGATGTCTTGAGTATCTGAGAATGTCTAGCATCTTGCCCAGACCTACTAAATGCCCCATACATCCCCCCTTAAATTCTTGACAACCAAAAAATGACAGATATTGCCAAAATGGCCCACAGAGGGCAGTGCCACCATGTTGTGGATGATCTTCAGCAGCCTAACCTGCTGGGCCACCACCCAATCTGTTCTTCCAATGACAACCTAGCTTCAGCATTCTTTTAGCAACGCCTTTCACCATGTCAGCCAAGTGAACAGGCCAGTCAGCACCAGCACAGAAAGGTATCCTTGGAGTTGCCCTCAAGGAGCTGAGGGGACTGCTAGATACTTGGTCTCACAAGGGTAGTGCTCACATGCCACAGACAAGGCCAACCCTGGACATGGGACAGCCATCATTTGTGTCGCACAGCACCCCAAGTAAAGCAGGGCTAGGGCCCTAGGGTGCTGGAAGCAGGGTCAAAGAGAAGTTTGAAATGGGAACCTATGACTCTCAAATGATACATTAAGTAAATTGGGGTTCAAGGAAAACAGCTGCAAGATGATGGAATCAGAAAATAGGGAGGCTTGGAAGGCAAACACAGGAGGAAAGATCTTCAAGGCTGCCGCAGAAGAAAAAGTCCAGGCCATGCAACTGAAACTGTTTATTGAAATCTCAGTTCTATAAAAGCATGAAAAACCCAGATACAAAGCAATAGCTGGAAAGGCCTGTGAAGAGAACACCTGGAGAGAAACTGGAAGAGAGGGAGCTACGGAGCAGGGTACTAAGAGGTTGGAGACAGAAGGTCAAAGTTGAAGGTCCCAGCAGTCTATAGGTGTAGAAAGGCTTTCCTGACTCACCCATATTTCCCTAAGCAGATTTCACCTTGGTCCCATCAGTCCCTGGCTCTTCTGTCTCTGGGACATCACACAAGCCCATGTGAACATTTCCTTTCTCCCCTCGCCCCAGTTCCTCCATCTCCCGACCTTTTCTTTTTTACCCAAGGAAACTCAAAAGCAAAAGCCTAGAAGAGCCCCAGGGACCCAAAATGGGGGCGTCTCCTCTGCCATTTGTGACATGCCCGTGGTCACCAAGCTGAAGTTTTCCCTGACACCATCACTGCCCTGGGCCAAGCAGCCAGCCATTAAGGTCTGGGAGAGTGAATGACCTTTTATAGCCTTTCTGCCCCTCAATCCCCTAAGCTTTTACCCAGGAGGACAGGGGATCAGCCAAAGACCCAGAGAGGTAGCGAGGATTTAAGTCAAACTTCCCTCTCCCAGGTTCTCAGGGACTCCCAAATCCTCTTAATGCACTCCTCAGAGCTCTACCTAGCCTGGGAAAATGAAAGACTTCAGACGAGCCAGCTCCATGACACTGAAAAGGGAACACTGCTGGGGATGGGGAAGCGGAGAAGCCACTGGGCTCCAGGGCCAAGGTGGAGCCAGGCCATGGGTGTGGTACCAGGGGCTGGGAGGCCCAGCGGACACCGTGCGATTGGGGTGGTGGCAGGCACGGCAGGTTGGAGGATCTCTCTGGACATTCTGGCAAAGGCGGCAGTTATGGAGAAGTGTGGGTGGGGCAGGGGGATCTGGGGGAGGTAGTGTTGGGGGGGTCAGTGAGGCCAAAAGACTGCCCCAGAGTGAACGTAGCCCTACGTCGCCTTCCATGCAGGTGGAGATGTTAACAGAAGATGGCAGGCACTGTGGCACAGAAGTTGGTAAACAAGGCTCCAAGAGGCCCTTGGAGGTCAGTCCAAGGTCAGGAGGGCCAGGTGGGGGACTGCAAGACAGCCCCAAGGACTGGTGTATTACAGCCACTGATGCCACAGCCAAGGCCACACTGCTCACATATGCCATGGCTAACAGACAGGAGAACTGCAGGAGAGAAGGCAAGAAARCACCAGGTTGCTTACTTTAACACACACACCCATCTTTTATAAAAATATTTTTTCAAATTAAAGCTCTCCAAAGCTCCTCTAACTTCCCCTCACTCATCTACTCCCAAGCCCCATTTCCTAAGGSTTTCAGTGTTTTGCTTTATAACACCTACACACCAGCCCATTCAAGATCCCTCTCCTTTCTAACCCCTCCTCACCTTAACCAGCCTCTGGCAGAGGGAGCCCAGAGCCAGCTGCCAGGTTGGTTGCTCCAGCAGCACACACAAATCTGTGTAGGTATACCAGCCCCGCCGTCGACCCTGCTGCTCAGCCACACTGGTGGGAGAGAAGAAGAGAAACAGAGTCTTCAACTCTGCTGCAGCTATACTAGGGACACCTTCTTACCCCTCAGGACCCTCCAGAACTCAAATTTAAGTACTCAGATTCCAGAAGCAAAGAAAAAGACCAAAATCTGTATTTTATTTTTATTTTTGCAGTGCTGGAAAGGTACATATTTCCAATAATCTACTCTCAGCCTCCTAAAAAAGGGCAGGCAGATTTAGGAATCACCACCTTGGGCAACTCTCTTATTTGTTTCCTTCCTACCCCAAGTCACACAGACCCTCATTTCTAGATTCTAYGGCTTAGGCCTTAGCTTCTCAATCCCTCAAGCCTTTCTTCTTGATTCATAGAACATACCAACTTTCCAGCCAGCTCAGCACCTCAAAGATCTCCCTCGGGTCAGTGTACAGACTCCAGTCCTGTGGGCAAGAGGGAAGAGCATCAAACCTGACTTGGATGTGAGCCACAGTCATCTGAGAACATGAGCCATGGCAGAAACTACAAYCTCTACATAGCTGACACTTACTCTGTATTTACGGTACTGTCTCAAGAGCTTTTACATAAGCTGATATAATACACAAAATACCTACATTCACATTATACCCTATATTAAGGGCAAAGACAGAAAATAACCCAGAGAATGGTCCATGTCCACAGAGCTTAGAGTGTAGGGTCAGAATAAGTTTGGAAGCAAACAGTCAGAGCCCAACATGACAGGTCTGACTCAGTGTGCCCTGTGGGGTCCTAGAGGAATAAAGGAGGGAAGGAAGTACTCTACTCCTGGCCTCACCACTCCAGGAACCTCCTAAAGGTTAATCCTGAAAGGATAGGAAGGTAAAACAATTAACAAAAAGGCACAAAGAGGACAGGCAAAAAGAGAAATGAAAAAAACGGCTGAAAACTGAGAGAGAACAAAGAATGAAAGGAAGGAACAGATGGACCAGGGGAAAAAAGTGAGAGACAGAATAGCTACTTGCCATGGCACGTAGGAAGCTCCTCTCCAAGGCGTTGAGAGTGGGCACAGCCACACCTCCAGCAGCTCCCCACTCATCATTGAAAACCTCCTCTTCCTCCCCTTCATCATAGAGGTACTTACTGGCAACCATCTGCATAGGAACCAGAAGTGGCATCAATAGAGCTTGCGCCAGGTTCCTGGCTCACCAGAGAGATGAAGGAGAGGGGCACCTCACCATGGAGATCAAGAACAAGTCCGAGGATGACACATGCTGCAGGTAGTCCGGGTTTCGGTGCCGGAGTCGCTCAATGTACACCAGAGCTAGCATCATGGCACATGGGGAAATGCACGCCTCCCTAGGAGGTGGAAAGAATCAGTAACTAAAGCCAAGGGTCATTCAGCTCTCACAATTCTTACAACACCCATCTCTACATCTTCTCTTTAGAGACAATATTCTCCCCTTTATAGGGACCAAAAACTCTCATCCTAGTTGATCCTCAGTTCCTGGCTCACCGTGACACATGAGCTACATATTTCTTCTGGAGTCGGCGAATAGGACTGGGGGCTGCTTTCTGGAGCAGTTCTACTGCAATGTCTGTAAAGGGAAGAAGGAAGACAAAGTGAACAAATGACTCCCACACCAGGCCCCATTGCTATCAGTAAAAACCCAGGTCTATGTTATCTGAGGCCTTGGGAACAAAATAGAGAGCAAATGGTCTCAAGTTGAGACAAAAAGCCCTAAGTTTGAATTTCAGATCTTTCCAGCAGGAAGGCTAATTCCCTGTCAATTCAAATGGATCATATCTGTCTTTCGCTGATGTTTGTCTAAGAAATAGACATACCCAAGAGAAATCCCTAGAAAACTAAGTTTCTGATATATGAATGCAGAGAAAAACCAGGGTGGTGTAGCTCAGTGGTAGAATATGTGCCTAGCATGTATAAGGCTCTGGATTCAATCCCCAATACTACACACACAAAAAGAGCAGGCCTGGGTGTCTGTTAAAAGTCCCAGATACTTGGGAGGCTGAGGCAGGAGGATGACTTGAGCTCATAAACTGGAGACCAGCCTGAAGAACAAAAAAAGGGCCCCATCTCAAAAACAAAAACAAAACACTGGCTGTCAAATGTTGTTTATTCTCAGGAGCTAGAAGAACATCAGCTATAACCTGCATTCTTGAACCAAGTACCAATGAGCAAGCTTTGATGAGACAGTATACAGCTCTGGGGGTAAACCTGTAGGTGTCTGGGTGACTGCTGACAGCCCCACTCTTACCCTCATCATTTGCCCAGTCATTGCCTAACCTGCTACAGGGCTAGAGAGCTCCTCCAGGTTGCAGTCAGTCTCCCAGTCCCAGCCATAGTACAGTCTCCTTCGGATCCGAGCATTCAGCTTCTGGTGTCCTGGGAGGAACTAAAAACAGGGCAGGAGTGGGTGGAGAGTGAACTGTAGAGAAGAGTATAATGAAGATCCTGGCTCTCCTTAGGTGGTAAGGGTCCGCTTTGCTGCTAGGGGCCTTATGCCCCACTCAGTTCCTAGTACTTTGGACTGTTTGCAAATGGCAGCCTGTGCCACAGGGAAGGAAAACACAAAGCCCTATAGAGAGCTCCCCGGTGACAGTCTCCAAAACGGGCCCCCAGTCTAGCCACCCCCCCTCCCTTCTTGCCCCGCGGCTCTGCCTCAGGGCCCAAGAGGCCCTCGAGTAAACACTACTCCAGCGGCTGCCGCCCAGTCCCGGGCACCAAAAAAGACGGTGAGCTTTCGGTCCACTGGAGGCCTGAGGGGAACGCCCAGCATAAAAGGCGTTGCTGGAGAAGGGAGCTGGAGAAGAGGGCAGGCTACGCGCTCACCGTGAAATCTTGAAAGCCGGAGAGGGAGAAGGTGCCTTCTTCGTCCAGCAGGAGCCCGGCCAGGTCCATCGCACCGCCAGCCGCCGCCTTGCCAAGGTGGAGAAAGAAAGGAGTTGTAAAGGGCCGGCAGAGCCGTCCTCGCCCGCCGATTCACCTGCCCGCCTGTCTCCCCCGAGCGGGCCGCAGCCCTCGCCCGCCAGCCCCCTCCCCTCGCGGCGGCAGCGGCAGGCGGAGCCCGGGCAGACCGGCGCTTCTTCCTGTTCCGCCCCGAGCGCGGCGCGGCGGAGCTCCACGGCCGGGTGCCTGGCGCGGCGCTCACCTCGCAGTTAAGAGACGACCCCGCAGCCCAACGCCTACTCCGCGGTGCCGCGTCCGCCCCGCGTCTACAAGCCGCGCGCGCGTCGCCGGCGAGTCAGAGGCCGGCAGGAAATGCCGMCCCGCCTGCCGGGAAGACGAGCCCCGCAGAGCTCACGGAGCCGGGCCCAGGGGCAGAGCTGAGCCCCGAGGACCTTCGTCTCAGAAATGGGGACAGTTGGGAGACCACGCCACCGAGGGCGAACCAGCCAGGCGGACCTTTCCGTGTCCCTGTGTTAATGTGAATAAAGCAGGCAGCACCGAGCTGCCCCACTTGTTTAGAAGAGACGAACTCAGTCAATAATGCACACAAAAGGCGGCTGCGAAAGCACACAGAAACTTCCTGTGGGAGCAGTACGGCCAGGTGAAAGGGACATTTTAGCTTTTCACTGTATACCTTCCAGTATAGTTTGGCATTTTAAGCCTAAATGAATAAGTTTTGCTGGGTTACTGCAAACAGTGATGTTTGTAGTGTCTCCCCACCAACAGCTGCATCTCTGGTTTTATTTTTAAACTCACCTACCACCCTCACTCACGCCAGGCGATGGGGGAGCAAGGAGCGCCAAAACGTGGAGCCGAGAAAGAAGTTTACGGAAAGGGGAAGAAGCAACTTGTTTTCAAGTCTGTCRAGTCACGCGCTCGTGTTTGTTTACMMGCTGAGGGGAGGGACCTGGGAGGGCCACTAGTATGTAGGGAGTTGAGTACTGAGACGGCCGCCGCCCTTCCCGAGCAGTAGCAGCAGGTCCTACCCAGGATACTGGGCGCCCGGAAGCCCACTTTCTGCTCCTCCAATCGGGGTCACACCTGTGATACGATCAGCTCTAGGCGCCTCAGTCTCCCTGCGGACACTGAGAGAAGAACGCGAACTGTGCAGAACGGACCCCGACCTACGGTCACGGATACCACAGGAAGAACTACGCACCTGCGTAGGTGCCGGGTCCACGCAGCCGCCTGCGCGCACGCGCGGGTCGCCCATCCGGGCGGTTGAGCCGCATCACGTGACGACCTCGGCGCTCCGCCGTCACGTGACGCCCGTCCGCAGCCTTTGCTCTCCTCGGCTTGCGCCCCCTTCCGCCTGACGCGCCCCTGGCGGCGGCCGCGCAGCCCTGGCTCCTAGTGGGCTCGGGCGGCGGCTGCGGCTAGGTTATGGCGAGCGGCGGAGGCGGTGGTAACACCGGCGCAGGTGGGGGCCCGGGGCTGGGCCTGGGCCTAGGTCTGAGCCTCGGCATGGGTGAGGCCACCTGCGAGGCGGAGGAGGAGGCGGCCACGGCCGAGGCGGTGGGACGCCTGGCCACGACACTGTGGCTGCGGCTCCGCGGCTGGGAGGCAGTGCTGGCGGCGGCGCAGCGGCTGCTGGTGTGGGAAAAGCCGCTGCACAGCCTGGTCACGGCGGCCGCTCTCAACGGCCTCTTCTGGTAACGGCCGCGGAGGAGGGGGGCGGGGCCGGGCTGCGCGGGAGAGCGGGGGCGGAAGGGACCAGGASCACCTTTCTCCTTTCTGGGTTGTCACTTGGCCTGGGGAAATGATCCATCCCCCAGGTTTTGAAGGCTGACGTCCGCCTGGGTTGCTGCATTCCTCTATCTCTGGGTGGCGAGTTAGGCCTGCAAGTGCTGTACCCGCATCTGTGGGCGCTTTTCCGCCTTTAGCGATGAACGCAGGAGCCACTCTCACCCACTCCCATGGGGTGCTTCTCTCTCTCAAAGGTTGCTGTCCTCATCGTCCCTCCGGCCTTTCTTCCTACTCAGCATCTCACTTTTGGCCTACTTTCTGCTGGATCTCTGGCAACCTCGCTTCCTCCCTGATGTTTCAGGTGAGTGGTTCTTCATTGGGCAAGCACTTGTTTATTTGCGTGCTTGCTTTGTGCTTGATCTCCTGAATGGGGATGAAGGTAGCATATAGCAGGCATTTCCCAAAATTGATGTGTCTGTGGATGTAGTGGTTAAGAGTGGATTTTGCAGGGCTGGGGATGTGGCTCAAGCGGTAGTGCGCTCGCCTGGCATGCGTGCGGCCCGGGTTCAATCCTCAACACCACATACAAAGATGTTGTGTCCGCCGATAACTAAAAAATAAATATTAAAATTCTCTCTCTCTCTCTCCCTCTCTCACTCTCTCTTTAAAAAAAAAAAGTGGATTTTGCAGCCAGCTTGCCTGGGTTTCATGCCCAACTCAGTAGCACTTACATGTGTATAACCTTGTAAATAGTCTCAATTTCTGTCTCAGTTTTCTTATCTCTGAAGTAGGGATGATAGAATTTAACATCGTAACAAGATAAGGATTAAATGAGTCAACACATGATGCATGATTATGGTAGTGTTTAACTTACAGTATTTGTACTAGTTTGTTTGGGGTTATTTTTTTATATATTTAATGTGCATTTTGGAGCAAGAGGTGTCAGGCTGTGTGAATTGTGTGGGATATGAACAACAATAAGATGTGGTSTCTGTGTTTAAAGGGTAAAGTTTAAAAAAGGATATAGAGCAATGTGTAATACCTACTGCAATTAGTATTTGAAGAAAGTTTTCTGGGATTGCAGAGGAGGATAACTATTTCTGCCTGGGGAGTGTCTGCCAGTGCCTCTACCACTTAATAATTTGTTACCTTTCTTTCTCCATAGCATCATCCCCTGAGGAACCACACTCTGACAGGTGAGTACAGACCATCTCCTGAAGACAGTCTGCTTCTTGGTGCTGATGTCACCACAAAGAAGAGCAGTGCTGCAGCTTCTACAGGCACAGCCCCAGCCAAGTGAAGGGACTAACAATAGGCTGGAGTTTTCTTGGTCCTAGGCTCCTGTGTTGGTGTTTGTACAACTACTGCTTTTGACACAGAGGGTTGGGTACCCTGGGCTTTTCTTATACCCTTCGGGAGGTGGGTTTTGGTTTTTTGGTTTTTTTTTTTTTTTTTTAACTTCCTTAGAGTAAAGATCTCATCAGCAGTCTTAGAGGGAATTGAATACCTAGGAAACTGGTGTCTGAGGCCTCTAGGGGTCATGTCATGTCTCTCCAGTGAGGGTGCGGGGTCAGGCGCCCGGCCGCACCTGCTGAGTGTGCCCGAGTTATGCAGATACCTGGCTGAGAGCTGGCTCACCTTCCAGATTCACCTGCAAGAGCTGCTGCAGTATAAGAGGCAGAATCCAGCTCAGGTAACTTTCCCCACACCCTGTAATGGTTTTTTGAAGGTGAGGGTAGGGTAGAGCAGAAGTGTTGTGAGCTATCTGCTGCAAACCTCCTTAATTGATTGTTATGGGCATCCTGTTGACTAGACTGGATCACTGAACTTCTAGTGGAAATACCCATTCTGTCACAGTTGAGCAGTAGTTTGTTAACCTACATGAGTTGGGCACAAAGCTCAGCAAACTCATCTTCACAGACCTTGTATTCTTCTCTGCAGTTCTGTGCGCGAGTCTGCTCTGGCTGTGCTGTGCTGGCTGTGCTGGGACACTATGTTCCAGGGATTATGATTTCCTACATTGTCTGTGAGTAAGGGCCAGCCCTGCCCTTCCCATAGCCTTCCTCTTTTCTTTTCACAGACCAACCTAGGGGGAGGAATATGTTTTCTTTGTTCAGTTCCCYATCTGTGGAGGTTTCCAGGGATGCTATAGAGCATTCCTATTTATAGTAGAAGAGTCGTTTAAGGAGGAAGACAGTAGATTTGGGGCAAAAAGGGTAGCACTACTTGGGAAAGGACCAGGATTCCTTCAGCTCTTCTTACTTAGAGACTAGCTGAATGAAGGCTGTCTAGGAAATTGGCTTAGAGAACTCTGAGTGAACTTTCTAACCCATAGTGCTGAGTATCCTGCTGTGGCCCCTGGTGGTTTATCATGAGCTGATCCAGAGGATGTACACTCGCCTGGAGCCCTTGCTCATGCAGCTGGACTACAGCATGAAGGCGGAAGCTGATGCCCTGCATCACAAACATGACAAGAGGAGTAAGGGACTCTCTCAATCCAGGAGGGTGAAGGGGGGAGGACCTRGATTATGGCTTGAAATGCCCTGGAATTTAGATCATCTCCAGTTCCTTGGCCATGTTTTTTCCCCCACTGTTGTCCTTGCTTGGACACTGCCTTATTGCTCTTCTCTAGAGCGGCAAGGGAAGAACGCACCCCCAGGAGGTGATGAGCCACTGGCAGAAACAGAGAGTGAAAGCGAGGCAGAGCTGGCTGGCTTCTCCCCAGTGGTGAGGTCCAGGGGAGATGGGGATGTCAAATAGAAGGCTGGGGAAATCTGTATGCTTTAGAACTGCCAYCTCTCAAGGAGGTGGGAACCCTACAGTTTGGGAGCACAGTGCTCTTATCCCATTGTTGTGTTCATCCTGGTTTTCCTGCAGGTGGATGTGAAGAAAACAGCACTGGCCTTGGCCATTACAGATTCAGAGCTGTCAGATGAGGAGGCCTCTATCTTGGAGAGTGGTGGCTTCTCTGTATCACGGGCCACAACTCCACAGTTGACAGATGTCTCTGAAG